GCAACGTTTCCGCAGCGAAAGTGACATCACTGCAACGGCAAATTGAGCATCACTGCCTGCCCACGAACGATTGGCTGATTGACAGGACAACCTTGGAACAGTGAGGGCTTGCTCTGCCATGGTGCAAACTTTGTTCATCTGTCACAATGTCGACCAGAAACAATTGAACACATCTTCCTACAATGCCCGGGCTCGGTATGGCTGTGGAGATGGTGGGAGAGGGTATGGAGACCGATGGGCACCACGACACCCTGGTCGTGGGATTGCAAAGCATTGTTGTGTGAAACATGGCACCCGGAGCAAACTACCACCTTGAGGATAATATATTTAAATTAGGGAGGCGGGCGGTACTCTGGGCGCTATGGAGAAGACGTTGCGTTTATGAGATGGAGGAGGTACGTTTGGATGGCCAAATCTTGCAAGAGGAAATCAGGCTGGATGTGGAAGCCGAAATTACTATTCAATGGGAAAAAATGAAGGAGAAACTAATATCCCTACATATTAAAGCAGAAATCAAGAAGGATATTCAACAATAATTTAGCACTGACTGGCTGGGGGGGACCCTGGGGAATCCTATTGGGAAAGGGAAGGAGAAAGGGAGGGGGAGGGGGAAATAGTGGGGCATGGCGATAGGAATTATCATCTTCTTTTTAAGGAGTGGACAAATGTCTGCCCAGACGTACCGTGGCGCCCTGCTTCAGACTACCCTTTCCCGCCACCAGCTTTAGCCATGGTGGGGGAACAGTGGTATGGAGGAGGGGGTCCCTAGTAGGATTAATCTACACGACTCAGTGATAGATTGCCAAGCTGTGGGATTGGGGCTGGTAGGGGAGGGTGGAACTAGGGTGTAGTAGCAAATATCTGGCGCCAGATTCAGGGTGAACAGGTTCTCCCTCCCCCCCAATAAACTGCTCAGTCAATCCCCTGGTCCCCAGGGTAATCAATGCTGGCAGAAACTCCCCGCAAGTGTCTTCTGATGTACTCAATTTCAGTTGTATATGGGACGCTGGGCCCGCTTCCCATCAGGCTGTCTCTTATACACATCTAGATGTGTATAAGAGACAGGTATATGGGACGCTGGGCCCGCTTCCCATCAGGTGATGCTCCCCACCTATAGATGGAGCCCCTCCCCGGGTGCTAGTGGTGTCTGCTCTTACCAGCACCACTAACACTAGGGGGGGTGTTTAAAAAAAAAAAAAAAAAAAAAAAGAATGGCATTTAGTCCCCCCTCTTTCCGTAGAGGTCTGGGAAGGCAAAGCCCAGTAATCCGAGCCTCGGCACGGCTTGGCATACCGGTCGGCCAAGGCTCGGACTCGATAGCAGGGCCAAGTACTGGTGGTATAATATCTTATTCTTGAGTCCTGTTCATCACACTGACGCTCCTTGGACATGTGCATCACTCATCTTTAGATGAGCTTGCATCACTTAACCTCAGAGCTATTAGGGAAGCACCCTAACCCTGCCATGTGGCAGGCCGCCAACCACCCACAGTCAACCAGTTCCCTTGCCGCTCTGAACTCTCCCATCACGGGGGCTGTGGGACAGCTTAACAGACCATAGCCCAATATGAGATAAAATGGTGACACTCTGCAAATATACGTGGAGGAAGCCATTCCGATTTGCGCCTTGTTCGCAGACGACCTCACAATCATGGTGGAGGCTACACACGACAATATGGAGGAGATCCGCCAGATGATGGAGAGGTTCTCCAAGGTCTCAGATATGTTTGTCAACTGGGGGTCAAAGACACAGGGCTGGTGGATACATTACGAAGGAGGACGCCCTCCAGAGGCCCCACGTATCGCTTGGAAGCCCCTGGACACCCCAATGAGAGTTCTAGGAGTCTCTATGACCGCAGAAGGACGACCCCCAATCAACGACGACTGGATTAGTTCTCCGGCCCAACACAAATTAGATTGCTGGAGGAACAAACACACATCCCTCTTCGGTCGTGCCTTAGTTCTCAACAATGTAGTCTTTGCATCCCTGTGGTATAAATCACTACTGTGGCCCCTAAGCAAAGAGGCTCTAAGAGGACTTAAACAAAAAGCAGCAGCTTTCTTATGTAGGGGGGATGGGGGACAACCCAATGTGATTAGCAGGGTGGCCTGGGACTCCATTATCCAACCGAAAGCAGGAGGAGGCTTGGGGATCCTCGACCCGGCCACGCAAGTGCAAGCATTAAGAGTCAAATGGATTAAGAAACTCATATTCGACCCCCAGAGCCCTTGGTGCGTTTTGGCTCTGGAACATTTGGCTAGATGGGCCCCGGCAACCCCCCACACGACCCACCCGCTCACTTGGTTAGAGGACCGCTTTTGGCACATCCCACGCAGACTCCTGAACGCCTCTCGTGAAAGGGTAGAGGAGGAGAGTCAACCGCAGGACACCTTTTGGCCTACACTGTTGGAAACATGGCGCAAACTTTCGCTTCCGGACAAAACACGACCCGACCGATGGGAGGAAGTCTATAGACAACCCCTATTTGGAAACAGATGGCTGACAGATACAAAGGGCCAAGTGATGATTAGCTCAGCCCCCCCTTGGAAGGGCTGGGTCAGAAATGGGATACTTCGAGTAGGGGACCTTTGGGACAATGAAAGGCGCGACTGGAGGACGGGAGAACAGTTGCGATCCTCCTTGCGGTATTGTCACCACGTTGAGGACTCATTGGAAGACATTATCGAAGCCATCCCGTTACAATGGTTCCGAATCCTTAGACGAGGCCCCACCTTGCAAGTCGGGGACTGGGTGGCAAGCAATGGGTCTCCGCATCAGATCGGCCTGGTGCACATGGTATCCCCCCAGCTAGTGCTAACCGAGAATTACACCATCACAAAATCCAAGAATCTCCAAGGAAGCGAAGGGCCTTTCGAGTGGAGGACCAAATCCTCGGTTTACCGAGTCAGGATTATTGAGGAGCAGGGACAGAAGGTGGTCTTCCAGCCAGACAAGCCAATTCAGGAATTGCCCCTAGACCCGGCGGAATGGTCCTGGAAGCCCCCTCAGAAAAGGGGCACTCCCAAGCCCAATCTTATTAACCTACTTTCATTAACAGTCAAAACTGCTTACAAATTGCTTTGTCCTAAGAGGCAACTCAAGGACTCAATTAATGACAGATGGGCCAGACAACTGAACATTGACCACTCCTTGCTGGCACCAATCCGATGGTTTAAAGAGCAAAAGCTGAGGCCCATGAAAATTACCTCCTTACAGTGGCAGATAGCCCACCGCTGCTTGCCGACAAATGATTGGCTAATCGACCGCACCAATCTGGAGCAAAAAGGCCTGCTGCTTCCATGGTGCCTACGATGTCAGAGCCTCTTCCCCTTCTACAAGAAGGCAGAGACCATCGAACACATCTTCATGCAGTGCCCAATAGCTCAACACATATGGAGGTGGTGGGACCGGATCTGGCGGCAATTAGAACCTGACATCCCTTGGCCCTGGTCGTGGCAAGCCATTCTNTGTATACATCCCTTGGCCCTGGTCGTGGCAAGCCATTCTGGCCGGACATTGGCCCCAGGCAGGGACAGTCACACCTTATGCAGAGAATATGTATAGAATTGGAAGGAGGGCGGTAATGTGGGCCCTCTGGTGGCAAAGGTGTACCCTGTCCATGGAGAAGGTACGGGTGGAGGGCGCAGAGATTATAGAACAGATACAACAGCAAATAACTTCTACAGACCAGCCATGTTAAGAAAAAGATCACAGATTTCTGTAGGAATTGGATTGGGGGGGAAAGGGAGGGATGGATGGCAAAGGTGATATGGAGCGGGGACCTGGGAGATGGAGAGAGGGATCTGGAAGGGTTGAGAGATTACAGGTTAATATTCAAAGATTGGACCAGAATAGAGCCCACGGTTCCATTGCGCCCTCCCACGGAATTCCCTGACCCATTCCCCCCCAATGCCCTGGCCCTGGCTGAGTCATGGTCCTGATCCCACAACCCCTTTTATCCCTCCTCTTACTATCCACTGACACTTTCGAGGATCCCTCCTCAGTGCCCCCTGACGTGGACCTCGCTCAAGAATTCTGGCCATCAGCAGACGGGATGGGGGGAGCAGCCAGTAAGCAGCCAGTGACAGCGAACAGAGTCAGCAGGAGGCTTCGGAGCAGGCAGCGGGCAGGCAACTGGCGACAGTATCACTCCTTAATTTCCGAATCTGGCGCCCTCTCTATGAGGGTGAAGCGATACAGAGGCACTTTTGGGTCTCCGGAGCAGGCAGCGGGCAGACAACTGGTGACAGTATCACTCCTTGATTTCCGAATCTGGCGCCCTCCCTATGAGGGTGAAGAGATACAGAGGCACATTTGGGTCTCAAGTTCACACAAGGCTGCTCAAATTCCTGCTTTGCAGGACTAATCATTGTTGGCAGAAAAAAAAAAAAAAAAAAAAAAAAAAAAAAAAAAAAACGTGGAAAGAAAGAGTGAAAAAGACCGGAAAAGTATTAAGCGAGACCATAGACATTTCTTCTTCATTGTTTTTGTTTTTTTCTTTTTTCTTTTTTCTTTTTTTTTAATCCCTGCTGCAGAAACAAACAAACTATGGCCAACTGGGACAACAACTAACAGCCACTCATTTTTATAGATGTGTAACACTGTGTCTTACATGGACAAGCCTCATTTCTCTTGTGGCCCAATCAATATTGAGTGCCACTTCCAATCTCTTTTCTCTTTCTTTTCTCAAAAGGGTAACAGTCTAGAGATATATACACAGGTGACCGGACCCAAAAAGGTAATCTCTTCCAGCAAGGCACAGCTCCCGAGAAAGCAGGCCGACAAAAAACATTGATGCTTTTTTTTTTTAATTTTTTTTTTTTTTAAATTTTAAACAACACCCCCACAGTGATAGTGGTGCTGGTAAGAGCAGTCACCGCTACCACCCGGGGAGAGACTCCATCTATTGGTGGGGAGCATCACCTGCTGGAAACCGGGTCCAGCATCCCATATACAGATTTAATCAGAACATCTCAGGCAAAAGTAAGTAAAAGTAAGTAAGACCCTGCCAGCATTGATTATGCTGGAAGGCAGGGGATTGACTGTGCAGGTCCTCAACACGTTTTTTGAAATCAAGAGAAATAACTGTATATGATATGTCATGATCTATTGATTATTGAACTTCTGTTACAACTGGTATTCAATTGGTCCTATCTGCTTCCACCACATTGAACGTCCTGTCATTATGGCTGTGTCTAGACGGGAAGTTTACCGAAACATATAATGACAGTTAAATGATGACCCGGCGTTCTGTTTGGGGGTAGACGGTGCTAGGTTGTCAATTAAACACCCCACTGCAGGATCCTCTTTGATTCCCACTGAACTATATGAATGGACCAATTGTACAGCTTTTCCGAAGATCACCATACTATTGCAGTGTACGTAATGCATGGAAAACTACTTAAAGTTTTGTTTTTTTCCCAAACACCAGGCTCCAATCTATTAGTGGGGAGCAGCACCTGCTGGGAACCGGGCCCAGTGTCCYATATGAATTTTGTACAGAAAACTTGAGATAGCGGGGCCATTACCCGGCTTCGGCTGAGAAACACAAACAAATCATGAAGATACTACTAGAATACTTCGAAGATAACTATACCCTGTTCTGGAATGATACCAGTTGTGCTTCACTGAACCCATCCAGAAACTTATCAGGACTCAAACTGCTAAGCCTTGATCGCATCATATATGAATAACATGATCCACCTTAGAACGCTTGAAAAAATGATTTTAGCCTCCAAAGCATCTGCGAGAGGCGTCAAGTGCTCCACCGATATCTGTTCGAAGAGGGGGTTCTGGACCTTTGGTTACCCAGAAATATACATGTTAGCTCTTGTTGAAGCCTTGAAGGATTCTATGGTGCTTGTCCTGCATGAGTTGCCCGGTTCCCTTACTCGGGACTGTTTCTTTTTGTTCTTTTTTTTCAGTCATAGGTGGCTCAGATCTATTGGTGGGGAGCGGCACCAGCTGGAAACTGGGTCCACCGTCCCAAATACAGAACAGGAGCCCATTGCAAACAACAGGTGACGCACAACATTGATTACCCTCTCCTGAGGGGATTAACTGCCCATMGAACACTAGACTGGACAAAACCACCTTGTATGTAACTCGTGGGCCGCTGTGCAGTTAGAAAGTCACCTCACCCCTGTCAAATTGTGAGGACCCACCCAGCAGGCAGAMGCTGCCGACCCTGGGACTGCACCTTAAACCCGTCATCTGGGTGTCATGGGAGCCCYGGAACTATCTGTGCAGTCATAATGATCATACCAGCAAGGTTTTGKACCTTCCAGGTACCAGAAATCTCTATGGGTGCCGTAGCTCTTCTTCTTGGGCCCTGTGGCGCTTGCCTGCTATGTGCCCCTCAAGTGTTTCCTTTACTAGGTTCCTCCTACGCCATCATAATAATCATAAGCGGACTCATCACGGGCTGCAGGCGTTTGCTGACGATAACTGTTCTGTCTACCTGAGTAGTACCCACTGTAATAGCCTGGCCCAAGTGGTGTTGAAGAGCCTCTCTGCGGAGAGTACAAATATCCTGTGGGGCTGTAATAAGACGTCTGGGAGGGGGCTCCCATGTAGTACCCGCTGCTGCTTGTGCTTCCTGCAACGATATAAGGGCGTAAGTTGGGGTTTGAAACCCTACTAGATGTGCCATAGTCATGTAAGTCTCCTTCAAAGTTGCRRTTATAGKAGTCTGTGCAAGGTCTCTGACGTTGGAATGGTGGGAAACTATAAGGCCCAGCATTGTAATCAAATGGACCAGGTCTGTAAGTACCCCCCCTGCCCAGGCCCAGCATTGTAATCAAATGGACCAGGTCTGTAAGTACCCCCCCTGCCCACCATACCAGGGTAGTATCCACCTGGTCGTTGAGGAAAGTACTGTTGTTGGTAGGGGACAGACCCTGACCCCCCTCTTAGAGAGAGATTTGCGAGAGGGTACCCTGGGTAATAGCCAGGTGCGGCTTGAAAATAAGAAGCCAAAACTTTCCGATAGCGAAMCCCTCTGTACCTGGATGACATATCATAATTATATTCAAAAACATAGCCTTCCCGCTCTGGCGGGCCCACTCTCCCGGCCCCACGAAGTCCTGAATACGTTTGGACGGAATAGGGATTTTCAGGAATTACGTAGACTTTAAAGCAGGGGATCGAGTAGCTTTCTTCAAAGTAACCGCCGTCAAGGGCACTTGGAGATGGAATTCCAGGGAAACGTTCTTGCATGCCTGGAGCATGGCTAAAGGRAGGTATTGTGCTGGCACCAAGCCACACAGTCTGAGCACCSGCAGTCATTGTGGTTGCTCCAGTCTCAGCATAACCAACATAGGGTCCCTGATTTTGTAGATTGGGTCCTCGAGTTCCTCCATAAAAGGTTGTTGGGAAATTCCAGGGGGAGTAGTTCATGGCACCACTCCCATAGCTCCCYGATTGAGTTGCACCATATGTGCCATATTTKCTCATGTCGTTATAATTCATGTACATCCCCGATCGACTTGCACGGTACTCGCCATATCCGCTCATGTCGTTATTCATGTAAATCCCTGATCGACTTGCACGGTATCTGCTCATGCCATCACCTGCGTACATTCCCGATTGGCTTCCACCAAACTTTCCAGGTGTGTTGATGCCCCCATCCTCGTAAAGCCGTCTCTCAGTCCCTCCATAGAGCATCACCAGTCGGTCGTGGATATCTCTGGAAACCTGCAGTGATGAGAAGAGGAACAACAATCAGACCTCCAGTGCAGCAGGAACAACATTGCCAAGCAAGCTCGAAAGATAAGATTAAAAGGCATTGTGATGCTTTCCATGGTGGTGCTAATCATCCCTCTAGCCCTTCTACTAGCCCTCTAGCTATCAACTACTGCCATCTTCTCCCAAAAAGATGGGATATTAGTCATTGAAGCTGTTTAAGACCTAAAATTGGCCTAAATGCATTTGCAATGATGAACACATTTGTATGTAGAGGATATCTTCAAAAAAGGTTTGTTTACACTGTCAAGTGGTTCTGAGAATGCCTTAGGATTCTGGGGACTTCTAGCAACTCGCTTTAGGCTGTTTGATACTGTGTTTTTTTTTTTTTTTTTTTTTTTTTTTTKAAAAATTTCAGAACCTCGCGGTTCTGGCTCCTGCCATTCTGGGGAGCAACAGTCCGGTTCCTATTCCACCGGCAAGTCAATATGAAATACATTAGAAACTCACACACGCTCCTCCCCATTATGGCTGGGAGGCCCGAGTGGGCGGCATTGATTACTTCCTTGTGGAAGCATGTACCCCCCCCACCCCTGCCTAAGTTAGCCTGCATTGCTTATTCTGGCTGACCCTTGCTGGACCTCTGGCCGCAGTCCTGCTCCTCTCAGCTATATTGCTGTCAGATAGATGTGCTATGMTAGAGCAGACTGGGGCTTTTGGTGCTATGAACCAGTGCCTCCCWGCCTGTGCTACGCTGCTCCTCCTGCGGGCTGGGGCACTTGCCGCTATGAACTAGCTCCTCCCTGCCCGTGCGACTCAGCTCCTTGATTTCCCATTGCCCTTCTACATACTGTACCACTGCATCCCCACTAGGCAGTTGGAAGGGGGGGGGAAAGGGTCGGGGAATTCTCCGGGGGGTCTGAGGGGGATCTCTGCGTCTATCTTGGCCCAATCATAAAATGTCAGGCTATAGTCCCTTTGTATCACTGCTCCCTGTTGACCCTCTCCTGTGTCCTTTGACTCTCCTTTCCATTCCACCTTCCTGGTTCCTCCTCCGTTTGGTCTGCCCAGCCAGCTTGTGCTGAATTCTTGTATTTTTTGTTTGAGGTCTTTATGTGTTTGCAGTGATCAAATGTGTGATTTGACCGCTTCCCATTTGGCCGTTATTTCTGTTTGAATCKGCTGTATTACGCTTTCGATGAATTCAGGGCCTTCTAGTCTCACCSCTTCCATCTCGTAGGTGCAGCGCCGTCCCCATAGTGCCCAGAGGACCGCTCTTCGTCCTAGTTTGAACATGTTGATGGTGAACTCCTCAGGATGTTCTGTATGTCCCCTGGGCCAGGCTTCGCATAGCAGCACCTTCCAATCCCAGGGCCAGGGTGTGTTTGTGCCTAGTTGGTCCCAAATTCGGTCCCACCATCTCCACATCCATACTGCTCCCGGGCATTGCAGAAATATATGTTCGATTGTTTCAGGGTGTTTTCGAGCCGGGAAGGCATTTGTGCACAGCTTACACCAGGGGAGAGCCAACCCTCTTTGTTCCAGCGTAGTTCTATCTACTAACCAGTTATTGGTTGGCAGGCAGTGATGCTCTATCTGCCATTGGAGTGATGCTATTTTTGCAGGTTTTGGCATGGATCTGCGGTTGTTCGATGCCAGAACGACGCTGGCCGGTGCTGGGGTGTTGCCCTGTAACCTGCTGACTGCAGGAGTGTGAGGGCTGGTAGAGAGATCTGGGGATGCTTTGGGGTGGGTATTCCAAGGGACAACCAAGGGTTGCTGTTGGGACGACGCTGAGCAGAGCTGAGGCGAGTCGTGTTGCTCTGTAACCTAGCCGAGTGGGAGTGTGATGCCTGGAGAGCCCGACAGCGGTGACAGGGCTGTAGCTCGGGAAAAGATGGTAGTGGGCATCCAAGCTAAGGGTGCTTATACCCTCATAGCCTGCATTATCCAGAGTAAATGTACTCAGTGACTGGCCTCTACAACACCATGGACTTGTAAAAAAAAAAAAAAAAAAAAAAGGTGAAAGTTGCCCTCAATACAGGTGTAAGGGCCATACCTTCAATTTGTGGGGGACTGTACTAGGCACTAAATGCAGGGAGTGCACAATCAGATGCATTACTCAGCCGAAACAGCTGCAGTAACTGAACAATCATCATGATGTCATCTTTTTTTTTTTTTTAATGTTGTTTCATTTATTTGGTTCCATCATCTGGATTCGAACTTGGGTCCGCATTCCAACAGTTCTTGGGTCTACCAACTGAGGT